CCCCTTGGCTGCCCAGTGTCCCTTCAACAACTGGGAAAAACACTTCCCTCGGTCTGGAATTGCACGCTGGGATTGGGATGCCTCTTTTCTATGGAATTCATTTATTAACCTTAAATATATTCCATGATGCTTTGGGGGGGGGAGCTGAAATAACTCCGTGGCACGTCAACAACCCGGAGGGAATTCCTGGTTTTTTTTAGTGGCAGCCCTTCCCAGAATAACTTGGAGCAGCCAGGAATGTCACAGGTATGAGGCCCCTTCCCCCCGGGGCTCAAACAACAACAACAAGGGCTGGGGTGGCTCCTCTGTCATCCCGACTCTTCCCAGCTCCCTAATTTAATTTGATGGTAGGAATCAAGCAGGAATTTTGCTCCTGGCAGTGAAAAATCTCCAGGTGGGGATGGGGGAGGGATGTTTTTAATCCCTCTTGGCGGGAGAGCGGGAAGAACTGGTCTGTTGGAGGGGCAGGAGAGGGCAAAATCCGGGTTTTGCTCCAGGTCAGGGAGCACAGAGGGAGATGGTCTGGGGTGGAAGGGAAAGTCCTGAGTTACAGGGAAACTGGGATTGTGGGAATCCCAGAGTCTGGTTGGTCGGTTCTGCTGCACAGGGAACGGTTCTCCTTCCTTATTCCATCGGGTTTGGTTTTCCAGAGTCCCTCACAGGGACCCTCTCCAAGGTCAAGGCAGCAAGAACCCGTCACATGGGGCTCATCTCGCCCCTCGGGATGGATTCCTGGGATTCCTGGGGCTCATCCCCATCCCTCAGGAGGGATCCCTGGTGCTCATCTCCATCTCTTGGGATGGATTTATGGGGCTCATCTCATCCCTCAGGATGGATTTATGGAGCTCATCTCCATCCCTCAGGATGGATTTATGGAGCTCATCTCATCCCTCAGGATGGATCTATGGAGCTCATCTCATCCCTAAGAATGGATTCCTGGTGCTCATCTCCATCCCTCAGGATGGATCCATGGAGCTCATCTCCATCCCTCAGGATGGATTTATGGAGCTCATCTCATCCCTCAGGATGGATTTATGGAGCTCATCTCATCCCTCAGGATGGATCTATGGAGCTCATCTCATCCCTCAGGATGGATTCCTGGAGTTCATCTCCATCCCTCAGGATGGATTCCTGGAGTTCATCTCCATCCCTCAGGATGGATTCATGGAGCTCATCTCCATCCCTCAGGATGGATCTATGGAGCTCATCTCATCCCTCAGGATGGATTTATGGAGCTCATCCCATCCCTCAGGATGGATTTATGGAGCTCATCTCCATCCCTCAGGATGGATTCCTGGGATTCCTGGTGCTCATCCCCATCCCTCAG